CGTCATTGTGCAAGGACAGGCCTTGTGATCAGCAAGAGAGGATTCTCAGAAACATATTAATAGCAAAGGACAGATCTGGCAGATCTTGCCAGGGAATGACACTGCAAACTATATGCATTCTTGGCTGCTCACAGAGCCTCCCCCTCCCCATCCAAAACAGACTCAAGGATTGGAAAGGGGCATCACAATCGCCACATCTCAACATTCTCTTGACCTTGACCTTGAGGCCTTGTCAACAGGTAACACTGGGATGTGTTCAGAGGTGTTCACTGGTTCACTGGCTGCCAGGCCAGGTTCAGAGTGTTGCTATTAGTATATAAAGCCCCTTACAACTTGGGAGCAGTTTTCCTATGAAATCAACTTACTCCACATTTTCCCACTCAACCACTTTGATTGGTAGAATTGGCATGAGTACAGGTGCCACATAATACACATAATACACAGTTCTAAGAATTTGATTATTTACACTTATTGTTTGTTCTCTCCCCCCCCCCCCCGTGAAATTTTATGAAGGTTTTTTTCCCCCATCATGCAATACAATTAAAAGCAAACTAATCTAAAGAAAAACAGGAAAAGGAAAAGGAAATGCAGTGTCCTCAACTAATACTCTTTGAAACTCCCTGCCTATTGAGATTGAGCTGGTGCCTTCATTGTACTCTGTTTGGCACCTGCTAAAAGCAATCCAGTTTGGACAAGCCTGCCCAGATGCTTAGAAAGTTGAGGCAATTTTAATCCGTTTTAGTACTGTATTTTTCGCTCTATAGGACGTCCCCGACCATAGGACGCACCTGGTTTTAGAGGGGGAGAACAAGAAAAAAAATTCTCCCTCTCTCTGCTCAGTGCCCCTTCAGCGAAGCGGCAGGAGAAATGGAGCCCTTCCATTTCTCCTCCCGCTTGGCTGAAGGGGTGCTGCGCAGCTCTCCCTCTCTGCTGAAGCCAAAAGAGTCTTGCTCTCCCAGCTTCAGCAGAGGGAACCTGAAGCCTCCGGAGCGCAGCGGGACCTCCCGCTGTGTTCCGGAGGCTTCAGACGGCTATCCCTGAAGCCTCTCGCTCTCCAGGCTTCAGCAAAAGCAACGCGTAGCCTCCGGAGTGCAGAGGGAGTGCTTCCTCTGCGCTTCGGAGGCTTCGCATTGCTATCACTGAAGCCAAGGAGCCTGCATTCGCTCCATAGGACGCACACACATTTCCCCTTAATTTTTGGAGGGGGAAAAGTGTGTCCTATAGAGCGAAAAATACAGAAATTCAACTTTTGTATGTTTTAAAGTAGCGCTGTAAATATTTCTTGATTTTACTGTTTTATCTTTTGTAATCTGCTTTGAAGTATTTTACAGCCGAGAGCACTCTCTCTCTCCACACACACACACACAAACACTGTGTTACTGATGTGCTACCTTAATTTATTCTAACAGGGAGTCTTAAGGTGGGCCTAATTTCTGGCTTCCCAGGTGATATGGAAGCACACTATTGTGGGGATCATTTCATCTCACATTTTCCTTAGCTTAGGGATGAGGAGGCTTCATTCCCTCAAGAGGAATCTTCTGGAAGCAGCTTGCCAAGGGCGTGGTCAGAGGGAAGAGTAGGCAGATCAGTTGATGACTTGTACCTTTATATTGTAGGCTACATTCCAGCCACATAAAGACCCATTCTCAGACTTTTCTAGTAAATGAGGCATCTTGGACTTTCAGCTTCCTAATGCATGTAAAATTTCCCAAGCAATTTTGACAATGAAAACAGATGAAGTCTTGATTCTGGCTGCTAGTGGAAGCCCAAAGTGCCCTTGATCAGCATCCAGAATTAAGACTTGATGCACTGTGGCATGGGTTAAATTTCCAAAGAGACCTTAAACTTTGAGACCTTAAAATTTGGAGATATAGATTTGTTATAGAAACTGGGGTGTGGAAGTAGACTGTGTGCCGAGACCCTTGTAACCCCTGGATCTAGCAAGTGTTAAAATATAAGCCATGCTTTCTTCCTTATGGGGCGATCACCTGGGTGATGGTCCATTAAGGGGAACAAAGGAAAGGGGTTCTGTGGGAGATGGCATATGGGTGGGGAGGTGGGACCCCTCCTTTGTTAGAACAACAGAGCCATCACTGAGAGCAGAGAGTGAAGTCGTGTGACCTGGAAGGCAAAAGCAGCAATCTGGGAACTGAGAGAGACACAGCAATGCTTGATTTCTGTTTGAATCCAAGGCTACACCTATGGGTGAAGAAAGGCCCTCTTGGGGTATTGATGCTGTGAACCCCTCCATTGTAGACTCAGGTTAGGAGCACAGGTGGCGCTGTGGTCTAAACCACTGAGCCTCCTGGGCTTGTTGATCAAAAGGTCAGTGGTTCGAATCCCTGCGATGGGGTGAGCTCTCGTTGCTCAGTCCCAGCTCCTGCAAACCTAGAAGTTCGAAAGCATGCCAGTGCAAGTAGATAAATAGGTACCACTGTGGCGGGAAGGTAAGCAGCGTTTCTGTGCACCCTGGCTTCCATCAAAGTGTCCTGTTGCGCCAGAAGCAGTTTAATCATGCTGGCCACATGACCCGGAAAGCTGTCTGCGGACAAACGCCAGCTGAAGCGAGATGAGCACTGCACCCCATAGTCGCCTTTGACTGGACTTAACTGTCCAGGGGTCCTTTACCTTTTTCAACTTTTTAGTCTCAGGTTGTATACATGTGTAAGCAAACCATATATCATAAAGACACCAGCAGGCTCCATTGTGCCTCATTTCAAGAGGAAACATGAATGCTGGGTAAGCGTCAGGAACCCCTGAAATCTCACACCACTCAGAGATTGGAGTGGTGTGCAACCATGCAATCAGTTCTAACTTGCCCCAAGGAGCATATATTAGGGTCATTTTTTATGCCTCACAAAAGATGAATGTGCTTCTGAGTTATAATCGTATGTAGTCTAAAAACAGGAGGACATCCTGCCTAGCCTCTCTGAATGGAACCTCTTGAGAAGGGGGGCAATGACATCTGCAGAATATCTTGCCAAGCAACTGGCTCCCTGACTAATTTCCATGGGTAGAAATGTGAATAAACCCTCCCCAGCGAAAAGTTATAAGCATTACGTGAATTATTTTTTCCTATTCCCAACATTCCCTGAATATTTCATGTGATCAGGAGCCCAGAAATCCAACTCAAAAGTTTCATGCAGCGCAAAAAAAATTGAGGCATTCCATTAATAAAGGGGCCTTTTATCAATACATGTTGCACATGAATGTTGCCTCATTAAGGAAAAGATGGGAAGCAAGTCACCACCCCCTCTGCATTTTTGCTGCAATTCTCTCCTGAATAATTCCAGTCACCCATATATATTTCTGCTTTCTGTCAGGCCAGGCAGTAAGAGAGTGTATTCCAAATGAGGTTTTTGCAATAAATGGGAGATTAATTTGATGATCCAGATGATACAATGTGAGCCAAAGGTGAAAAGAAGTGCTCCATTAGCAGGCCTTGAGTCTCCAGCGGGGGTTGAGAAATTGCCGCTGATGAATTAATGAATGCAAATCACTGGATCTTACACCTTTTACATAATGATCCATACAAGGTGGTGTCCTCGCTCATAAAACAATGCATTGCAAAAGGAAAGAGTGTTTGGCACTCATGCGAGCAATGTAAGAAATAAGTAACAAAAACAGGATCAAAAGAGCACGCAAGAAAAACTCTAACAGAGTGCATAACAAAGACTAGATGACCTTCATCTAGATACGTTGGGCAAGACATACACTCTACACACACACACACACAAACAAACACAAACACACATTTTCAAAACTAAGGTTTATCAATGTTTGCCTTCTTCATCATGAGGTCTGTGATAAGGATAAGTTACAGATTAAAAAGGCATACCATTTAATTAAAAAATATAAAGAATCTAATCCACTATATACTCCAACATTATTTATTTGTGTATGTTTATTATGTTTTGTAAATTCAACCACGTTTTCTCAATTCGGGGAGTTGTGGCATTGATTTTTCATAGTATCCAGGTTAGAGAGAGTTTAGGAGGAGACTGAGATCACCTGAAGTTAAACACATTTTGGTTTCCAGTTTAATAGCTGCTGCAAAGAAAATGGGGGTCTAGGAAATCTGTTTGACTATATCTGCTTGGACCTTAAAACTAGAAATTGTTATTGCAAGGATAAGACTTAGAAATTGACTTCAAGTTCTTTGTTAATGAATTAACGCTTGCATCACGCAGCAGGGCTAAACATAAATAAATCACAAAATCAACTAGTAATCTAAGAACAATAAGCCCAGATAGAAGCAACAAAAATAAGGCTTTTCCACGTAAAACTCCTCAGCTCAACAGGTCAGATCGTAGAATCTTAGAAATGTAGAGTTGGAAGGGCCCTTAAGGGTCATCTAGTCCAACCACCTGCAATGCAGGAATCTCAACTAAAGCATCCGTGACAGATGACATCCAACTTCTGCTGGAAGGAGAGTCCACAGATGCCTGATATATACAGTGGTACCTCAGGTTACAGACACTTCAGGTTACATACGCTTCAGGTTACAGACTCTGCTAACCCAGAAATAGTACCTCGGGTTAAGAACTTTGCTTCAGGAGGAGAACAGAAATCGTGCTCTGGCGGCATGGTAGCAGCAGGAGGCCCCCATTAGCTAAAGTGGTGCTTCAGGTGAAGAACAGTTTCAGGTTAAGAACGGACCTCCAGAACGAATTAAGTTCTTAACCCAGGTACCACTGTACATTGTGAGGTGAAAAAAGGATCAAGAAAGGGTGCCAAAAAGCCTTCCAAGGCAAAATACCCCATAAATTAGGCTGCAACCGCAGCAAAGGCCACAGAGAGAACATAGAGAAGGCCTTTCCCAGCAGTTCTCAGGGAGCAGACAGGCTAGTATGAGTGAAATCATAGATAGCTTAGACCCAACTCAATTAGCAGTTAAAAGTAACTACCAACCAGTGCCACTACTGCTAGATTGGAGCAATGTACTCCCATAGGTGGCATTATGCAACATTCTGGACCAATGGATGCTTCCCCACACAGAGGAAGAGATAGCTCACTCGGTAGAGCATGAGACTCTTAATCTCAGCGTCTTGACTTCAAGCCACTTGTTGGGTCTTCGATTTCTGCACTAGATGATCCTTGTGGTCATTTACAACTCTACAATTATGTTCTGTTGTCAAGTATTACAACCTGGATGCACCTGAAACATGTATCACCACCAGGGCCGTCATAAGCATATCTGGCGCCATGGTGCAAAGCTCCCTCTGGCGCCCCACCCCCATTTCCCAGAGGTTCTTTTAGGGAGGGCAGCACTGCCGGCGGGGCTGGAGGAGGCTGAACACAATGCCTCCCAGCTCAGCTGGCCACTTTGTGCCGCGGTGGCCATGGCAGACAGAGGTGGTGCTGTGGTGGCCACGCCATGGCGGAAGCAGGCGAGGGCAGTGAGCTGGTGCCAGGAGGCACCACGTCCAGCCTCCACCTCTTCCCTGGCACCCTCCAGAACTTGGTACCCCAGCGCCCCATGCCACTAGTCTCTATGGGTAAGATGCCCTTGATCACCACGGTCTGTTCAGACCTTATCAAGAATGAGTGTAGCACACTTCCGGTTTTACTGCTCCCCGTGACGGATGCTCTCCGCGGGTGCTCTGTGCAGGAGTGATTGTTGGAGGGATGGGGGGGGGGCAACGCGGAGGCTATGCGAAATATCCAGTGGCATCGGAAAGGGACCCTCGGTATTCTACGTCTTCACAGGCAAAGGGGCAGAGAGACCCAGACGTGAGGAAATGAACTTCCCTCCACAAGAAGCCTCGAATTCCGAGACAGTGAGCACCAGTAAAGTCTCCAGCTAGCTTTACCCCTTAATTTCTACTAATCAGATTTAAAATCAAGGGGGAAATGTGAGACTAAAACCCCACCTACTAGACTCTGGAGAGTAAAACTCAGGGGGCACAAGGAAAGAGCAGACCCTAAGACTTTAAAGAAAGTACTGCTGCTGCAATCTTTGTCCCCCCCCCTTTCTCAAACCGCAAAGGTTTGAAACAGCATAGTAGTTGATTATTGGACTGTATTATATATCATACCGCTAAAAGGGGGCAGAGAAAGAAGAAAGGTGTAGTGGGTTTAGAGGTTGCTCGTGCGTAAGTTGCCGCCACTCCTGGCTAGGTTACCTGGTTGAACCCTTTCTGACTGGACAGCCTCTAGCTTCGTGATTGTCTCAGTCGGTGGAAGAATCCGTCAGTGGGCGTTTCTTGAACTTCTTCCAGCACAAAAGTTCTTTGACGCCTAGTCTCCGCCTAGACTCCCTGCGCGGAAGCCTTCTGCTCAGGGAGGGTGTGGGCAGCGGAGGACCCGTACTCTCTCCACTGGTCTCCGGCGAGGAGTCTTGGAGCCTCCTCTCCGATTCCCCCATCTGCCCCCCTTCTCCACTGGTGTTACGCTGATTTCCTTCCCCAGCGGACGGGCTGCCTCTCTCCCTACTGGGACCCTCTCTGGCATCCCTCTGGAGCCTTCCCTCTGCCTCTAGCTCCGATGGCAGTTCCCTGACAAAAGGAAAGGACTGAATGGTGGAAATCCAATGCAGAGGACAAAGTTAATGATAAATGAAAAAACAACATATACATGGAACTTTGAAAGAATACCAGAACCTTAGAACTGAGATTTTTAAAAGTGACTCAAATCTTTACCTGGGGCAGTCACAAAAAGGAAGTAACTAGCAGCAGTCACAAGTCAGTCCCATAAAACGAAGAGCAAGTCACAATATAAAAAATAAATAAAATGAAAAAGCCACACAAACAAAAATGCAAAAACTAGCAAAAACAAAAGCTCCAAATGTCACCTCTGTGTTGCGGGGTGCTCGGGACTCAACAGCCAACAGATTCAACAGGAAGCCTCTTTTTAGCAGTGGGGGACTCAATTTACAAATAGAACACACTCAACAGGAAGCGGAACATGTTCTTATTCCAAGGCAAAGTTCACAAACCAAAACACCTACTTCTGGGTTTGCAGCGTTCTTATTCCAAGTTGTTCATAAACTAAGCTGTTCTTAAACCAAGGTACCACTGTATAGATCCTTTTAGTTTTCATTGTGTGGGGTACCTTTCAAACCAAATACATTTTAAAACTTTAATGCATGGCTTTGAGGACAGTACTAGAATATTTCTGACACTAAAGGAAAAGGAAGCTCAAAAATTATTATCGCATTAGCAATGACACCAAGATGCCTTTAAATCATGATGTAGAATACAGTTATCCAACAGATCTGAAATTTATGCCTACGAGCATCAATAATGTATATTTATAACATGGATTAAATTAAATTACTATAATCCAATGTCATTGTTTCAGTGAATGGAAGCAGCTCAGAGGTATTTTATCTGAAAAGAGGAACAAGACAGCTTGCCCTTTAAGTTCATTACGGCTTGCATTATCTGTTGCACCCCTTGCAGAAGCCATTGGATCTCAGACCCAGAGAACACATTTGATGTGGTAGTTGAGATAACTGAAGAATTTAGTAAAGTATCAGGTTAGAGGATTAACCATATAAAATCAGAATCATTAGCCTTTAGCATAGATAAATTATCCATTGGAAAAATTGTAAATATATCTTGGGAAATCTCCCCAGTTAAATACTTGGGTATATGGATAATACTGGACTCACTAGCAAAAATTTCAAAATATGATCATGATAAATTATTAGCAGAAGCTAAAGAGCTAAAGCTAAAGAGAAACTAGGGATGAGGGTGGCGCTGTGGGTTAAACCACAGAGCCTAGGACTTGCCGATCAGAAGGTCGGCGGGAAGGTAAATGGTGTTTCCGTGCGCTGCTCTGGTTTGCCAGAAGTGGCTTAGTCATGCTGGCCACATGACCCGGAAGCTATACGCCGGCTCCCTCGGCCAATAAAGCGAGATGAGTGCCGCAACCCCAGAGTCGGTCACGACTGGACCTAATGGTCAGGGGTCTCTTTACCTTTAAAGGGAAACTAAAGCAATGGTCACAGCTGCAGACATCATGGTTTAGAAAAACATCAGTCCTGAAAAGGGTGCTGCTGACTAAGATCTCGTTCTTAAATTTACCATTGAAGGTTCCTAGACCGTTGGCAATATATATATTTCTTTGTTTCTTTGGCAGTAGAAAAGGCTGAGAGCAGTTTTAAGAACCTTATTCAATAGTTTAAACCAAGGCAGACATATTTCCCTCAGTTAATAAATATTATGATGGTGCTATGCTAACCTATCTAAGAAATTGGTTTCATCCAGACAGATCCATAATTCTTGAGCAGGAGACTCTATCAACAAACTTAGAAAATAGTTTATGGGATTATACTAGATCTGATAGAGAGACTAAACTCTTGTCCTTCTGCTATATTTGATATCCAACATAAATATAAAGAAAAAAAATTGGCCCAGGACTATTACCACTCACAGCTCCATGTTATAATAAAGAGATGGAGAAAACTTTCAGGAAATTTATGGAAAATGTGTGGCTTTACTGAACTGAAAAACTATTTATGGATGGCACCTTTAAGACCTATTAAGTGATAAAAGTAGAGATACAACAGCACTGAACACAGCTTTCCAATATCTGCAGTTCTGAACTATTGTTAATAAACTGGCTAACAAATACAGACCTTTTCAAGTATCTACTAAATTTGGAAAGTTAACGTCAAATGAACATTCAGTAAAATTTCAATAAAATAATTGACTCAGACTTATTTCACATATACAACCATCACATAATTCTAAGTTTAAATAAGGAAGTGATTTTGCCAAATAAACTCCTCTTTCGTAGGAATGTGCCAACCGCAAGATTGTTTGGTCACATAAATCAGAAATTGTCCCAAAGCAGAAACAAAGTCAGAGGGGTCTGCATCACCCCTGGCAGAATGGATTTTATGAATGTATTCTATGAGTCAGTTTTTTTCCAGAAATGGCAATGAACACGACTTGTAAGACCATAGATCCTTGCTTGAAAGATGACTAGAGAGTGGCAACCAACAGATAGAGAATTAATTGTTGAGAATTACGATGGTGCCATGGTAATAACATCACCCTCACCATCAAGATATACAACTGAATTACTTGGTTGGATAAAAACTCCTCCTTGACAGAAAAGTATGAAAACAGGCCTTTAATATATCTACAAGTCCTACAATATCGGACCTCAAGTTCGTCCTTCATTTAGTACTGACAACAACTGTTTTGCACAAGGGTTGTGTTCCTCCTTCACCCCATTACATCCCACCTCCTTTTCCAGCAACTTCCAGGTTGTGGTAGTGCCCTTGTGCAGAAAAGCTGTCTTTGCCTGTGTATGGATGTGATGGGGGCTTTTTGGAGTAGAATTAATCAGGACCACCTGCTTCCAATGAGCTGAGCGTTACTCCTGTATCATACATACTAATGACTGTGAAGTATGGCATCCCAGTCTAGGACCAGTATTCCCAAATCGCGTATGTGTTCATCTTCCACTGGAAAGCAGAACATAAACTCTGTACTAAATGCTGTTGTACTGGAAATAAATTCCGCAGAGGTTTTGCAGGTCAGAAGAATTAATTCCACATTCTATGTCAATTACTGAGGAAATTAGTTTTTAAGAGATTATAGGACTCTTCAGCAATCATCATACAGGATCCTCATGATTCCTCTCAGTTGCATTAATTTTAGCTGGCTTAATAATTTATTCAAGCACAACAGAGGAAGGCATCTCACTAAGCAATGAAAGCAATATTATTGATCGTGTCCTAATTCCTACACATCTGGCCCCGTAGCATTGCCTATATTGCTCTCCTTCAGCACTCATTTTAAGCTCCAAACAGTTCCAGTTTGCACAACACCTCTCCCCTTTTATAAGAAAGAAGAAGAAGAGGAATGGGAACCAGACAGCTCTGCTGTTGGGGTTTCGAATGGCAGTGTCCAGTTTACGTAATCTCCCATAAAAGGAATAGTGCCACCCCAAGTATACATGTTCGGTGAACCACCATGTTTTTCAGAGCTTGAAACAAAGCAGGGATCAAATCAACCACCATTAAAAGTATATGAATTTAAGCCAAGGCTCATCGTACTTGTGATGGACAGAGGGTATGAGACAGAAAGAATAAGATGCTCCATTTTTGCCTTTCCCCTGGCCATGTT